TAATATTATAATGATCTAGTCAGAGCTTTGATAGTAGGGCCGTTAATTGGTAGAGGAAAGTTGAGCCCCTCCATCTCGCTTACCCTACAATCATATTGATGGTTGAATAATTAGATCGATAAAAAATGTTTATAAATCTTGGCATTTTTCAATATATTAAGGAACGAAAAGTTTCATTTCAAACAATACAAAAGATTCGTCATCACCTAACTTTTGACACTTTTCTGATTTTCCACTATTGAAATCATTCAGCTTGCATTTTCTTATTAACAAATAAAGATTCGTATATTTTATATTGTGTCACAGATAAAGTACTTCAATCCGCTGTAATCTTTAGGTGTCAAGAAGTCTCCATTGTCTGGAATGATCTCAGCATCGATCTTGTTTGCATAGATGACTGTGATCGTGAAATTTTAAGGAAAACCTTGATTAGAGCAGGACAATGATTGAAAAAATTTTAGGACAAATAGTTAGAACTAGCTGAAGACATCAATCATGTTTTCTGGACGTCCATCAACGCTCATCTCAGGGTTACCTAAAGAATACTTCATAAATCAGATAAACCAAAACCGTTTGATATGAAATTTTGACTGGTAATAGAGACAGCATTGAGCAGTTGAATGACGAGCCTATCGTAATGAGGTTTTTATTTCATGTTGAGATATTCTCGTCGAAAGAAAAATCCTATGTTGGTCTTCTAGCTTCTTTACACGAAGGTCGATCAAAATTTGATTAGTCCTTGCGATCAAAGTTCAACATGTTCTATTTCTGTTCAAATTGTTACATTAAAGAATTAAAGTTTGTATACTTTTTATCTGATAGAGAAACTTTCTATGAGTATTGTATAGCTCAATTAAAAAGAGGATTAAATGTTCTGTAGATATTCTTTTTTCTTCTTACTAATTTCTGTTTAACATAAATCTAATTAATAAATGATTAATATTTGATTATTAATATATGTTTCAGAAAAAATACTGAATCAAGAAGTAATATATAAATAAGAATCAGTGTACGTTATGTCAATTTTTAATTGAAAATTTTAACTCACAACAGATAAACTTACCGTTCGACCAAAAAATTTACTTCGTCGAAAGCGTTTAAGTGCAACAGAAATGAAACATGTTCCAATAAGTATAATAAATGAAAGAAGTGCTTTATTTGGTAATTGATTTTCATCATTTGATTTTGATATTGAATTATTATACAATGAATTTGAAGAAGAAAACAAATCTTGTCTTGATATGCAATCATAGCACGAATATTTCGATGTAGAAGAAAATAAAAAATCATCAAATGATGAATTCATATTGTCAAAAGCAAATGTTGTATTCAATATAGAAGATATATTACATGAACAAGTTAACGGATAATCATAATTATATTTATATTGAACTGGATTTGAAAGAAATATCTATGTGAAAAATAAAATAATAAAATAATAGGACATTGAATTATATTTATTTTACTTTATAAAGTTTTTTAAATGGTTCATACAGATAAACAAGAGCAATAATAAGAGCAAATATTTCTTCAGTAAATCGAGTCACATGACGAATCATAAAGCTACCTTCAAAAGCCACAA